CCCCCCCCCCCCCCCCAGAATCAAGTCCAAAATCAAGAGCCCGAGTTTACAAACTCGACAAGTGGATTTTGAGGCCTCTTATGATGATCGGACATGACGAAAGTGCTGTAAATACCGAGTAAAATGGATGTTGTCTTAACATGGCTAAGAGCAAGTGTAGTTGGTAGGGGGGGGGGGCGCCTACTACTACTACTACTACTACTACTACTACTACTACTACTACTAGGAGGTAAAGCATTGGTAGGTGACGCCAGTGTTTTCTTCATCCGAGTGTGTTATTTCTCAAGTTTTGAGCTGCTTTTACTTGTTTTAGGGGATTGTCTTTTTTCTGTCTTGTCTGTGTTACGATTTGAAGACATGCTGAACGCTGATATTTCTCGAGTTTTGGCCTTGTTTTGATCGATGTGTAGAAAGTTCACGTTTTTTTTGTGTAGAGAGTCTTTTCTGCATTTGGGAACCTCCCAGTTTTGTACGTGTTGGACTTGGAAGTCGTAGTCACCTCGACTAGACAGAGCCGTACTAGTCATATCTACAGTAGTATACGGTGGTCATCATCATGATCATGATCATGATGGCCATCATCATCATCAGCATCATCATCATCATCATCATTATCACCATCACCGCCACCACCGCCATCATCCTCATCATCATCATCATCATCATCATCAACATCGTCATCATCACGGTCATGATGCTTTTTATCATACCTGCAACAGACCCCCGAGAAACCATTGAACGACGTCGCACTTCTGACATGCAGGAGTGTCTCACTGGAGTTGCTGAAAAGATTCCGGCTCTGTCACACATGCGCAGCCGGCGAAGGCGATTTTGTTCGCATCGGGGGCAATAGACACTAGGCTTGCTAGGCGGCTCTGGCAGGCAAGTTTCACTTGTTGTACAGCCTTTGTTAGGGTTTTTTGGGTTTAGGGGGTATATTCTTGAGAAGGAACCAGACTAATGACCTTGCAAGGGCCTTCGAGCCAAGGAGACGGTAGCTATCCCTAAAGCCTCAACCCGAAGCCCTCAACCTACTTCGAGCCAAGGAGACGGTGGCTATCTTATTTGTGGCCAGGCTGCTCGAGACTTGACCTTGGCCTTCTCCATCGGCATTCGTGGCGACTCGGTCGGGGCTTGTTTTTTTTTTCGTGGGTTCAGGGTTTAGGGCATTGGGGTTTAGGGTTTAGGGCTTTAGGGTTGAGGGCTTCAGGGTTCGGGGTTTAGGGCTTGGGAAATCCTACGCCCAACGTAGTTGTGTTGTTACTCTGAGTAGTTTTTGTGGCAGTGGCCGTAGTCGTAGTAGTAATTCTGTCTTCCCTGAAACCCTAAACACCCTAAACCCCTAAATCCTATCCCCTAAACCCCTAAACCCCTAAAACCGTAAACCCTAAACACCTAAACCCCTAAACCCCTAAAGCCGTTTAAAACCTAAACACCTAAACCCTAAACTTCCTAAACCCCTACACCCCGAAACCCCTACACCCCGAAACCCGTACACCCCGAAACCCTACATACCTAAACCCTAAACCCCTACACACCGAAACCCCTACACCCCGAAACCCCTAAGCTCATGAGCTCAGGAATGGACCCTTTCGGGGCGGCGCTGTCCGAAGAGTTTGGGCCCAGGGTGGAGGGTTTCGATTGCACCCCGGGTCAAGGTTTAGGGTGTAGGGTATTAGGGTTTAGGATTTAGGGTTTAGCATTTAGGGTTTAGGGTTGAGTGTATTAGGGTTTAGGATTTAGGGTTTAGGGTTTAGGGTTTAGGGTTTAGGATTTAGGGTTTAGGGTTTAGGGGTTTAGGGTTTAAACTCTGAGGTCTCCATTTGTTGTTTGTGTGCTTTTGTTTAGGGTTTAGGCTTTAGGGTTTAGGGGTTTAGGGTTTTTTAGGGTTTGAGGTAATATAGAACTATTTTGGAGGGCTCCTTATCATGATTAAAGTATACTATACCCCAAAACCCTATTCTAATTGTTAAGGCCCCATAATATAGAACCCTATCATAGACCCCTCATAGAACTCTTTAAAGGAAGCCTGTTCTAATCATTAAGGACCCTACATTAACGGGGTTTAGACTCTGAGAGGTTTCAATTTTTGTTGTTGGTGCTTGTGGGAGTGTTAATTATTTTGGGTTCAGAGTTTGGGGTGTTCAGGAGTGGGGGGGGGGAGTGTACGGTTTCGGATGGGATCCTTTGTGTAGTTTCGAAGGGTTTGGGTTTCCTTGCGATGTGTAAGAGCGCCTGAAAGAGATCCTTTCTTCTTTCCTTCCTAACATGGGCCAAGGTACTGGGGATCCGTACCGCTGCCCAGCGACTCTGACAAAATGCCGTTTTCACTTTAATCCTCTCTGTCTCGGAAAGCCTTTTGGGGGCAAGCCTGCATCGCAGTTCCTGAGACCGGGCCGGTTTCAGCCATATCTGCTTGTTGGCTGGGTTTGTGCCCAGAGACGGCAGCACCAGGGTAGTACCGTGAGCCCTAAACCCCTAAACCTTAGACCCCTAGACCCCTAAACCCTAAACTTTAGGCACTAAAACCCTAAACCTTAAACCTTAACCGCAAAACCCTAAAACGCTGAAGTCCCTGAGGAGCCTCTCTGAAATCCTGGATCGGTTTGCCAAACCGTCGGATGAGATGCTGCTTAAGATCGACTGCGAGGGCTGCGAGTGGAACGTGCTGCCCGAGATTCCATCCGAGGTTTCGAATCTAGGATCATGTAGGCTGCATGCTTTTGAGTTTGCCGTGTGGTTTTGGGGTTGTGGGCTTAGGGTTCAGGGTCAACGGCCAACGGCACCGCAAGGCCAGGTTCCGGCGAGTAGTTTTGGACAACAGGGCCCCTAATTGGCACTGCCTCAACAAGAACTCCGAGACAGGCCAACTTTCTCGTTGCTGTTCGCTCTCCTTGGTGTGCTCTGAGGGTGTCACGTGTTGAAACCTCTTGCAGGTTCTTAAGCGCTTTCGAATGATCGTCATGGAGGCGCACTGGCTCGAGACGCAGCAGAAGCACCCGACTATGCTGAAGGCACCTCCGTTGTCCAACATCCTCGAGCCTGGCGCAACCCTCAACCCAAAGCCTTAAACCTTGAATCCAAAACCCAAAACCCCACACCCTAAATTAAGGCCCAAATCCTAGATGCTCAAACCTGCCATAGAGCCGCTGGGGTCCTTGAGGCCCCGGTCTAAAAGTTTGGATGTCAGTAAAGTTTCGGCCCTCTTCTGGTGAAGCGACCTGACCCCAACCTCGCTACGTCCGAGCGTAAGGTGAGGGCGGGGGTCATAATGGACTTGGTCTGCACTTTCAGGGCTAATTTTTTTGGGCTTAGTGATTGAGAAGCCATCATGGTGTGTAAGACCTTCGCGGATGTGACGAGACGGATTTCGGGCATCGCATCTCCAGATTGAGTTTGGGCGAACTTCCCCGAGCTTTTAGCTATGTGGGGGTTTCTTTATGTCCAGGGTCCTCGGATCAATAGGCGCTAAGTGTACACCCAACCCTCAAATCCTAAATCCGAAGAAATCCCGAAACAGTCACACCAGACTACGCTAAACCAAATATTCGATATTATACGATATACTATATTACGCTATCTGATACTACATTATACTAGCTGTATTATATGAGACCATATTACAACGAGGCCATGGACCTCATCCTTGAGAACTTTCACCTGGTGCACAGTCATGGCTGCAACCGCTTTGATGTTTGGGCAGTGAGCCTAGGCGGAGCAGTCTTGGGTTAGGCCTTTGGGCTTAGAGGTTTTAGGGCCATTTTAGGGGTTGAAGGGTTCAGGGATTAGGGCATTGGGGCCCAACCCTAGACCCTGAACCCTTAACCCTTGGGGTTTACGGGCCAAGTTAGGTTTTAGGGTTTAGGGTTCCTAAACCCCCTTGCCCAGGGCCGAGGGTTCAACATGTTTTTTCCATCATTGCCCGAATACACGAAATGCAGATGGCTGACGATCATGCTGTGACTTTACAGCCCGTACGACTGAATGTACGCCCCGAAAGCAAGCAGGAATAAGCCCAGCAGAATCATCTGGAAAATAGAAGACGCCTTGCCTGTAACGGAAACAAGCCCGGATGGTTTAGGGGTTTGGGGGTTTAGGGGTTCAGGGTTTAGCGGTTTAGTTTTTTAGGGTTTAGGGTTTAGGGTGTAGGGGCTCAGGGATTTAGGGTTTAGGGGTTGAAAGGGTTTGGGGTTTCGTGGTTTAGGGTTTAGGGTCCTAAGCAGCCTCAGGAACGGCACGGACTACAAAATGCCCCGTGTGGTGGAGCTGACGTTTGTTCGCAAGGACCTCGCTGTTCCCACAGCTTGCGAAAACTCAAAGTATCGCACTTTGGCGGCAGAAGAAGGAATAAACGAGTCACGCGCTGCATTCTGCAATCCGGAATTTGTGAGACTTACAAAACTCTTTCAATAGAAGTCAATATAAACGTTGTATATAGTTTAAAGCAGCATGAACTAGCTCCCCTAGCCTCAAAGAGTACAGCGTGGCGAAGTCGTATGAGTCAGCAGCATCAATGGCGCAGTAGAACATAGTATGGCAGTGTACATCCTAAGCCCTAAACAATTTTGAACGGGGTAGACTCTGGTAGACGAGATGCTTCGCCCCGAACCTGTGCACCGGAACAGTAGAGCACACAGAGGAAAGCCCGAAGTAGAATTATGGAGTAGTCGAAGAGAAAAAGCATTATAGAGGAATCACATATCATCCCATGGAACAGAACATTCTCGGAAGGAGCAGACACGTATGCCCACAGCGGCACAAGACGAATCCAGGGCTTCTCCGTTCTTAACTGTCCCATCAAGCTAGTCTGGCGAGATCGGGTGGGTTTTGCGCCATGGATATGGTTGTTGGGGGGCGGGGCGGGGGTTTGGGCGGGTGGGACCTTGCCGTTCGATAAACATTATGCAGGAGTGGTGGTGACATGGAGAGTCTGAGTACTCTGGACCGCACCCATCGTGTTCCAGAGAGGCCTCTGCAGAAAAGCGCGCTGGTCGTGATTGACACGTGTCCGGAGACAAGCGAAGGCAGAGACAACGTTGCTCGAAGGGCTCAATCCACTGAACGGAGATTCTGGGAAACAGCCGTGCCAGAAAAAACCTTGTAAGTTTGCCGGCTTGCTGTTGCTTGCGAAGGCAAGCCAGCCCTTTAACCCCTAAACCCTAAACCCAAGTACGACAGTGCAGGTCAACGCGCCACAAAAACCCACAAGCCCGACGCCGTATGTTCCGCCCATCCTTCTCGCAGCCCTGAGGCTCCATCATGTAGTATATACTAAGGCCTTAAGGTAGTCACCCATATTGGCAGTCCAAGGCCTGAGTACATACTTTATGTGCACATGGGGACCCCCCTAAACCCCTAAACTCCATAATTAGATCCTAAACCCTAAACCCCTAAACCCCCTAAACCCCCTAAACCCCTAAACCCTCAACCCCTAAACCCTAAAACCACATGGAGTTTAAGGGCAGTATCTCACGCTTCTCCTAGACCTCTCGAAGGCCAGAGCCGCTGATCTCAAGAGAAGGTCTGATGTTGCGCGGCCAATTCTATAGTAGAGCAGAGTAGAGTATAGTCTGGTATCGTAGAGTAGAGTAGAGTAGAGTAGAGTAGAGCAGAGTATCGTATAGTAGAGTTTAGTAGGGTATAGTATCTTATCGTAGTGTATGGTAGAGTTTAGTAGAGTAAAATAGAGTGCAGTAGAGTAGAGTAGAGTAGAGTAGAGTAGAGTAGAGCAGAGCAGAGTAGAGTAGAGTAGAGTGGAGTAGAGTATAGCGCAGTATAGTCTGGTGTAGTAGTGTAGTGTATATTCTACCAGTAGTATACTATAGTATAGTACAATATTTTCGGAAACCATAGCAGAACCTAGAGCCATACACAAGTTAGGGCCCACTCTGATAAGCCCTGAACCCCGAGAAAAATCTAACCGCCTGTGGGCGGCTTTTTAAGCAGCCGTAGTGTAAGCCCTAAACCCTTCTAAACTCAGGTGCAGGTCTCGACAAGCCCATTTGTGGATTCCGTGAGCTGGATGCGAAGCACTTCCGACCGGGGGTGGGTGGGTGTTGAATGTAGGCTTGATTTAGCTGTTAGGACCTAGGGTGGGGTTTTGGGGTATGTATGGTAAACACAGCCATTCTAGATTCTAGAGAATAGTACTAGTAATCATGTCGGCCCCTGTGTTACTGGGGGTTTCAGGGTGTGTGGAGTGAGGGCCGTTTGGCATCAGCGAGGAGGCCTGAATGATTCGAACACTACTCTGTTAAGCATCTTACTAATAAGGTTATCGGTCATCCCCTTCAGCTGTAGTTTGAAACCCCATTCTTATCACAAATGGTACCATTATGAGGTTTGTGCGGGATTGATTCTTCCCGATTTTGCGCCTCGTGCATTAGGTCATAGGCCAGGTATCGTCCATCTGGCTTCCAGATGTTATCCGAGGGGCCGGCTAGCCCACCTTTAACCCATGTTCCCTGAACCCTAAACCCTAAAACCCGAAACCCTAAATCCTAAGCCCGAAACCCTAACAATGAATGTTGGCCTTTCTGGGGCTAGGGTACTCAGGCCCCCAAGTTGAAGGAGCATGCCTCAGAGATATTTAGACTTTCTCTATTTCTCTGAAGCACTGCCCGAATGTCGCACTATGGTGATGTCGATCGTGACGTCTTTCATGACAGATAGCGAGGGATGTTGTGGTGCGCGGTGTTTTCCATGTGCATATCACGGTCGTGGTGTTGCTGATTAAGAGGATGTGGTTGCTTTTGTCACCGCTTCTATTGCCTGCTTGTGCTGCTGTTGCTCATGATGACCCCTTCTCTTTCTCGTCATCGTCGACGGTTTGACTCTTTGCTATTGCTATTCAGTCGTGAACTGATCGTTACCATGATGTGCTTGTGACGGTCATGCCCTCGAGTACTAGCAGTATTGCTTGCCAATACTATTTCTCTTTCATCTGCGTTTTCTTCCGCCATTTCTGGTACCAGTATCTGTTATGGGGCCACAGCTTTTAGGAGTGAACAACTGTGACAAGTGGTGATTGCTCCGCTGAATTATTCGTGCTTATTCCGATTTTTACCTGTTACCATTACCTCTGCTGCTATGCCACTTTCACCAGGACAGCAGAGAGTTCCTGCAGGAGAAAGTGCCCAACAAGTACTTCAGAAATCCAGCCCTCCATATTCGGGCGCTCCCAAAACCCTACACCTTACATATTCAGGCGCCCCCTCAACCCTAAACCTTGAGATTTCTGCAGGACTGCCAGCTGCAGACTCTGAAAGCAGGTGAGGGTTCGGCGGAACTTGGCTCTTGAGCGCAAGGCTTTCTTGGATTCTCTGCGAAATGCCCTTTCTCGAAACATGGCCTCCGCTGTGTTTGGCGATCGATCGGGTCATTCAGTAGCAGCATCAGTTTCTTCAGGGTATCCCTAGAAGCATACCATAATATTCAGCGAAACCCACCTTCTGATGTTTAAGGCCACCCTCTGGGCCCCTAGTTATCCCATTCTGGCAGTACGCCACGTCGAAGCGAGCCGTGGGTTTTCAGCTCTCTTGGCCAAAGTCGCCCTGCCTGCCCGATACGAGGTATACTCGGCCCTTGTGGAACCGAACAGCTACCATTGTTACTCTTGTTATTGTTCTTGCTCTAGAAATCTGCTAACACGGCAGATCTTGAACGCCATGTAGATGCGATCGGAGACGCTGCATCCCAAAATGGCCTCCTTGCGGCTGCGCGCAGCTCCAATCTCTGACTTCCCCTAAACGCTGTCTAAACATCCACGCACCGAACCCCCTCCGCCCTAAACCATACCACGATACCCAAACCCCAACACACCAAACTCAAACCCTCGACTCGACCCTGGGTGACCCTAAATCCCAAACTATGCAACCTGTATCTTGAACCCGGATAGCGCAAGGCATGGTGAGTTTGTGTGTGTGTATGTGTATTACGTATATGTATGCAACGTAAACTAGCGAAATGTAGCATAATGCAGGGTAACTTTCAATTTACTGTATAGTGTCAAGCCACCGTAATGTGCTTTGGGGGTGACGCACAGCAATGTTACGTTAGAGCATGTCGTGTCGTGTTGTGCTCTTGTGTGTGCTGTTATGCTTTGTCATGCCATGTCATGCCATGTTATGCTATGTTGCTGAATTGTTTTCTTATGTTCTGTCATGTCAAGCGGTGTCATGTCATGTCACGTCGTGTCATGTCATGTCATGTCATGTCATGTCATGTCATGCCATAATGTGATGTCATGTTTTGCTTCGGTAGGTTAACGGTGATGCCATGTGGTGCTGTGTTATGTTTTGCTATGGTTTGCTATGTGTCAGCTATGCTCTTGCCATGTCTATGTTGCTTACGTTTATGTTGCACATATGTTTATGCTAATGTCTATGTTGATATCTATGACTGTATGTCATGTCCTGTCAAGTCATGTTATGCTCTCATACGGTATGGTATGATAGGGTATGCAATGGTACGCCATGGCATGGCATCGCATGACATGGCGTGGCATGGCATCGTGTGGTGAGTCTTCGTGTGGTGTGGTGTGGTTTGATGTGGTGTAGCATTCTATGGTACTCTGTGCGGTGCTTTACTATGTATGTGTGTACGCCTGCCTGCATGCATGCCTTGATGAACGGATGAATAAATGTTTGCGTTGGTGGAAGGATGGATGGGTGGATGGATGGATGGATGGATGGATGGATGGATGGATGGATGGATGCCTGTAGGCAGTGGGTGATGGGTACGCTGGCATGCCTGTGCACTTCGCGCGGACAGAAGTGCACATCTTCCCGTAGTTTCCGGGCTGATTTGAGAGCTCGAGGTTTATTCGTTTGGATTGACCGTCAGCCAATGGTTTTGAGCGTTTCAGCTTAGCGATCGATGGCTTCCGGGAAAATGCTGCGCGGTGCGGGGGTTCAGGATTTGGGGCTGCTTGTAGGGGTCTAGAAGGGTTTAGGGGTTCCTTAAACTGATCTACAAGGGTTTCGGGGCTCCTTGAACGGATCTTCCAGGGTTTAGGGGCTCCTGAAAGGGATCTAGACTCAGAGGGATCTCTGAGGGTTTATCGGTCTATTCAAGGATTAAGGGCTCCTTAAAGAGGTCTAGAAGGGTTTAGGAGGCTCCTTAAGGGGCTCCCGGAGTCGGACTAAGAATCTACCTCAATTGGAACCACGCCGGCTGGCTCTCGACAGGGACTCTAAAGCCCTAAACCCTAAACCCTGTACTTGAAGAAAACCCTAAACACTAAACCCTAAACCCTGCATTAAAAAAAAGAACCTTAACCCTAAACCCTGAGCCGAAGCTTCCCGATGCTATGCCGATGTCCTGTAGAATACTAGAGTGCTAGAGCCCTTAGCCCAAAAATCGATTCCAAAAGGAACCAAAGTCTGGAGCCTCAAGGTGCTCTCTATCCGGCCCCATCCCATCTCTAGCGCGGAATAACAACCCAAGCCCATTTCCTTGGGCCCCTACTTGGAAGTGCATGGGTAGTTATAATACGTGGAGTTAAAAGTCCCCCAAAATGGGTTATAACTACAGTTACCCTACTTCTAGACTTACTTATCGCTACCCATGAACCTCCAATTAAACCCCAGTGCCGGGGCCATGCCCTAAACCTAGAGAATCCATCAGAACAGCTGGAAACCCCTAAACCCTAACTCCGTAACAGTCCCTAAACCCCGAAATATCCGAACTCCCTAAGAGCCCGTAAATGCTACATGCCCTACAGCCGAAATCTTCTTGCACTCACCGTGGCCCATCGTGGGCCCTTCGTTTCGCCATGATCCCCATATTGGCAGCTCTGGCCTTTCCAGTGCTGGGTCGCTGCATGAAGCTTGGAATGTGCGGAGAAGTGATGTGGTTTAGGGTTTTGAGTTTCGGGTTTAGGGGTTGGGGGTTGAGAGTACTGTAGTCGTATAGTCGTACGTAGTTTTAATCGTAGTCGTCGGCGCCGGCATCGTCGGTATCGCGGTCGATGTAGTGGTTGGGGTCGCAGTCGCAGTCGTGGCTAAGGTCTACACAATATAATAGAGCCCTTACACAGCCCAAAGGAGCTTGACTTTACCTGAGTTCCCGTAGGACGGCCTCATCCAGAATCCTACAAGTCAATGTCAAGAAGAGCTTGATGTGGGGTTGAGGGCTTAGAGGTTTAGGGTTTGGGGTGGAGTTGAAGGGTCAGAGACTATGTGAAGCTGGGAAGGGCAACCAGATCCACTCCAATTGCCCAGATGGACTCTCATGGTCTCGAAATGCCATGCAACCATGGTCTTCAACTACACGAATCGTCGTCACCGAATCGTCGTCACACCCTCTCTTCAAGCAATACCACCCCCTATTGTTGTTGGTTCCCAGTTCCCCCTCTCTTCATACAATTACACTCCCTATTGCTGTTGTTTCCCAGCCCCCCTCTCTTCAAACAATAACAACCCTCCTATTGCTGTTGTTCCACACTCTCTTCAAGCAATAACACCCTCCCCCCTGCTCGATTGTTGCTGTTCCCCGCACCCCTCTGATCAGACAAGAACCAAACCCCCCTATTGTTGCCCGAGCAGTGGCTGTGGGAGTGTTAGATCGAAGCACCCTGCTGCAGCAGCACGAGGAGTAGAATGTGTAGTTGCAGTCAACGTTATCGGCGTTTTCTGCTCAGTCTTCCATCTAGCTGTATTTTGTTGTCGCGGTTTTCGGAGTGGTGGCCAGACTATTCAGGAGCATAGAGCAGCCGTGGTGGTAGCGGCAGCAGCTCCAACACAGCCTTAGCGAGCAGTCCGTGTATAGTTCATTATAGTATATACAATGACTACAGTCCACTACCGTGTATTTGTCGTATATCTTGCAACAGTACAGTATAATCTTTCGTCTATTCCAGTATGTTGTAGTATTCAACTTGAGGATGCTCCCTGACAACTCGAGGATGCTCCCTGACATCGTGGGCATCGGACACCAGCTCCTTCATCGCCGCGTGGCGGAGGAGGGAGCGTGGGTGGAAGCTCCTGAGCTCATGCTTCCAACAACAGAGGAGCCGGACGAAAGAGCCAGGGTTTAGGGTTCAGGGCTTAGGGATTCAGGGACTAGTAGGGACTTTTCTTGAGATCAGTTCTTGAGCCGTTTCTGGGAGGTGGGGTTTTTATGGGACTCAGTCTTGTTTGCGGAGTTGATAGGTGTGAGCATAGTTTCAGGTCAAGTCACAGGCTGAAGACATAGTTCTTGCGGCCTGTTCGGGAAGCTGTCGACATGATGGTCTGTTTTTTCGGGATGTCCCCGTAACACTCTACTTGAAGGTTCATGGGTAGTTATAAGTAAGGTTATAAGTCCCCTAATATGGGTTATAACTACAGTTACCCTACGTATAACCCTACTTATAACTACCCATGAACCTCCAAGTAGAGCTGAGAGACAGATGGGTTCAACTCTGGACAGTCGCCTGACTGGTCTTAGTCTTGTTGTCGGTTCGTGCACAACAATCAGGGTCGTCGGAAAGGCCCAATCGACAGATTCGGGCCACTTCACTGTTACCAGGTCTTCGATGTGTCTTCTGGTGCTTCAAGCAAATAATGTCAACTTTGAAGGACATGTCCCAACTAAGGAACATGTCATGCCAGTTTTTTTTAATTAGGATCCTTCATGATTCAAGGTCCACGCCTTGATGGAGGCGCATTGGGATCCAAACCCGACACCTCGGGCCGGTCCCTGAACCCCAAGCCTCAAACCCCACAAAAACCGAATTACATCACTGGTTTGGGGCTTAGGGCTGCGAACTCTTATAAATGTAGAGCATAGCGGGCCCTAAAGCCTACTTCCCCGAGGCCTTAACCTTAGACGCCAGACCGCAACCTCAACCCTAAACATGGAAAGCCCAAAGCCGAGACATGCAGACGAGCAAAGAGTGCGTCAAAGCCCAACTTTTGAAGAAGAAGCCCTAATCCAGAAGGAGATCGCAGAAATGCCAACCAGTGAGCGAGAGCAGCGAGCAAGGTTTTATCTGCCGCGAAGCTTGCATTTTTGGGCTTGGCTTGGGTTTAGCTCCAAAGCAAAAGCCCATAATATAAAGGGTTCCATGGGTTGAAACCCCTAACTCCTATACCCCAGGAGTGATTTGTGTGTGTTTTGTCCGAGGTTTGGCGATTGTTGCCTTTGAACTGGTGGTCTGGGCCAAGTGAGAAGGTAACGCAGTAACGACCCGAACACACGATCCTTAGGACGTCCAACCCCCTAGAGTCCCTAGAGGAAGGTATACCATGAATTCAATGAACCCTCCTCTTCTTTTATGCTAGCTGGGTCGCAGGGTTTCAGGATGTCCCAGCCTTCGCACGTTTCGGTCTTTCGATCTGTCATGGACTTTCGCTTTTCGTTTCAAGACGCGGTGCTGTGTCTGTTGAGCAAATGAAGCCTCGCCTCGTGCCTAGGAGCAATCAAGAGACTTAGTCTTTAGGGTTTAGGGTTCAGAGTTTAAGAGCTGAGTAACTAGCAATGGTTATATATTCCTTTGGGTCCTTTAGTAACTGAAGTTTATAAAGCCCCTCAGCCTGTGCTTACGCATTTACTTCGGCCTGTCGGTTAGACGGCTGTAGGCTTGGGGTTGAACCAGGGAAAACTCTTGTGCTGTGGTTCAGAAAGAGAAACCTCAGAGTAGCAGAGCTCAGTCTTGGACGGCTAGGGGGTTTGGGTTTCTCCCCGGGTTTAAGTTTCGAGCTCATGGTCTAGTTAGGCGCTTCCTTGGATCAGGGCTGATGGTTTAGGTGCTTCTTGGGGTTTCGGGCCCTAAGACTACTTTGGGTTCCTTCCTTCCGGGGGCACGTGCTTCGTTGAGTGTAGGATCCTCAGAATTGACGGTTCGGGTTTTTGCTAGGTCCTAAAACCTATACCCTAAACCCTTAAAACAAAACCTAAACCCCTAAACCCCGAAACCCTAAACCCTTTAGGGCCAAGGGTTTGGGGTTGGGGGTCGGTGCTGCGGTGTTTGCAAGTCACTTACAAGCTAAGCCTCCACCCGAAACCCTAAACCCAAGCCCCAACGCTACACCCTGAACCCTAAACCAACCCTAACACCTCAAACTCTAGCCCCAAACCCTGACCCTTCACGCTGAACCCTAGACCCAAACCCAAGCCCCGAACCCCAATCCCTGAACCCTAAACCCTCAACCCCGCTGACCTTTGATCTGCGAAGCTTTGTGAGGTCGGCTTTCCTGCTGACCTACGGGGTCACGCTCGTGGTGGGCACGGCTCCTCTTTGTTGTTCTTAGGAACTGCTTTTGTATGGTTAGTATCATAAAACTTCAAGGGTTTATTTCGTGTTCTTGGAACTATTTCCAAGGTTAGTATACTGAAGGGCTCATTTAGAAGGGTAGAATACTGATTGTTCTAAGGGCACTTGAGTACTAGGGACCTCAGGTAGTAGCCTTGTTCCGCTTTGGTTCGGTTTAATGGCTTTAAGGAGTCTTGGGGAATCAGGGTGTACCTCATTTCCTTTTGCAGCTTGGGAGTTTTCTTTTTGAGGTTGTAGCTTATCGTTCTAGCCTACACCTTACGCAACACAGCGTTTTCGGGAGTTGGATGGGATCCGAGGCCATTATGAAAGTCGGGCCCGCAATCTGCGGGGAGCGCCGCGATGTCTACGAGCCTATGGGGAACACGGACTCTGAAGAGGAGGATTCGGACACTCTGCCGACAGGTGGGTTGCGAAAAGTTACTGAAAGAGCTACTCTAAGTGCCACCATCATTCATTATAAGTGATCCTTTATGGGTTCGGGGCTTTGGTTTACGGAGTTTGCCATAGCATGGAATTTAGGACTTATGTTTTGGGGCCCTTACAGTCATGATGCTAGCCCTCGTAACCTTAAAGTATCCGTGTAATAGCTGTTAGGTAACCCTGATGGAAGTAAGCCTTGTTGTGGCCCTTATAGTCCATGCTTGTAGTCTACCGTTATGGCAACTTTCCTAGTATAGCCCTAGGAAGTCTTTTTTTGGGGGCTCGGATAAAGTATCCCCTTATGAGTATACTTCAATCGTTCCCACAACTCCTATCCAATTCTCAAGGCCCCGTTTAGGGTTTAGGGTTTAGCAGTTTAGGGCTTATAGGGTTCAGGGTTTAGGGTTCAGGGCCTAAGCCCGAAGCCCTTTAAAACTCTGAGCCGCAGACGCTGACCTTCCTGGCAGGTCCCGTCGCGCAGGGCAGCCTGAGCGCTACCCGCCAGAGGATTCTCTTCGGGACCGTCTTCGGAGCACCCCTGGCTCATAGGGTTTGAGGTTTGGGGTTAAGGTTTTATGGTTCGGGGTTTAGGGTGTAGGGTTTCGGGTTTAGGATTTGAGGTTTAGGGCTCGTTTAGGATTGGTGTTTATGGTTTGGGGTTCTGTTCACCTTGTAATTATGGGCGGGGAGGGGGGGGGTGTCAAATTTAACAGGTCTTCTAAGAGTTTATAGGTGTTTATCCGGGCTGAAGGAATTTAGTCTAAGCTAACACACTAGCTGTTGTTGTACGGGCTGTAAGTGTTACACGGTATTTATGAGGCTGTAGGGGTATTCTGGCACATAAAGCTTAAGTTACCATCGCAAGGAAGTTGTTTTGTTCACCGTATATTTCTGTGATGATCATTCGAAATAAGTTACCGAACAAGAGCTGAGGCAAATTTGGCGTGCTGCCTCACAGCAGCCATCGTAACTTGGCACACGGCCCATGGTCCAGGATTGACAGTCATTCGGGTTCTTTTCGGACACAACTACCGCTGCGCTTATTGGATGTGGATTTCGATCATGCTGTCCTGAGAAGGGACTTTATTTAAGGGTCTGCATCATCACGAATACTGTTCCTTACAGCCATACGGCTCCTTCTCTACATTATGTTATATACCAAACCGAAGCCACCATTTTCTAACTATTCAGGCCTGCAATGTAGTTACTAGTTCTGTTACATGCCAACAGCAGAAATCAACAAACATGTCATAGCCCAGCAGCCAGGGTCTCAAAAGTGCAAACTGTCCCAGCGGTCGTAAAGGTACTGTCCAGTTTAGGGCTTAGCGTTTGAAGCGGTTTAGGGCTAAGGGTAACCCTAAATAGCTTAAACCCCAAAACCCTAAAACCCCATGAAAAGTAATGCTAAACCCTATGGGATACCAGAAATGGCCCAGGCAAGTCTCGCTACCAATCGCCTGTCAAAAGACACCGGCTTGGACTGGGAGGTTTACTACCTCCTCTTTCTAATCAACTGCACATGGCTCGTAGTGCAAGCGGCCGTTGCTGTGTTTCGGTTGCGTGGGCGGCGCAAGTTTTCGCTTTCCGTCTTTGCCGAATGTACGATTGTAGGTACATGGCCTATTTTATCCGACGCGTATGATACGCTGAAGGATGTACTTTTCGGTGCATTGTGTATCCAGTCTGAGTACGTGCTGCTGAAAATCATCGGCGCGGCAAGCTGGATGTATCTGATACTAATTCATGTGTACTTTGCACGCGATGACAACTGCGTAGCAGATCTCATCCTGTGCTACTTGTGTGTTCTCATGGCACCGACGACAGCGGAGGACGTCGATGGCAATTCAACCAGCATCAGCTGCTGGGCTCTTGTTAAGGAGTGGAGTGATGGAGTTTAATCTACCAAAAATAGGTGCGATGTACTTAGAGTAAGTAACATGGTTTTTGGTGGTGAGGTAAAGTAGCTAAGTGCCGAATCAAGATTCCAGGCTACTTCAGCTTCAGCTTTGTTGCGGCATGGTGCGCTTCTGCATCTGACACCGTCTTGCCGCTGCTGTACAAGCAGGCACAACGAAGCGACTCAAAGACGCGATCTTGGAGCACTATTGATTCATTACTAATGCCATCGTTAATTATTGCTATCATTACTGCTGCTGCTGCTGCTACTACGACGACGACTACTTCTCCTGCTACGATTGTTCGTTTCTTGATATGACGGTGAGTCTGTTTTGGCAATACTGATGTAACAGCTGTTACTTCGTAGTATGCAGACATCAGGCCTGTTAATTTTTGCATGAATGTCAAAGTCAGTAGTATCTGATCGCCCACAGGTGACCCCGACCAAGCGCCATCTGCTCCTGTACGAGAATGTACCACAGGCTGTGTTTGCAGTCGTACCCGGGCGGCACAGGGCTTTTTCCATCGGTTTTACGTTCACACGTAGATGGAGTGTGGGGAACTCAGCCGGATTGGTGCTAATGGTGTCGGTACGACTGGGTTGAACAGACGCACTGTAACAGACTGTGTGTAATGTAAAGCAGAATGTACGGTGGAGTAACCTACCGCACTGTAGCATACGATGAGGTAACCTAAACCGGAAGCTAGTGCAGCGCAGTTGTCATGTAGACACCACGCCCGTACTGACGATTTCAAGTTGGCGATTAGGGGTCGTGCTTATCATGATGTGACTCGATGTGGCAGGGTTGATTTACTTGGTTTGTGCAGTAAGGGGTGTTATCAGGGTGCAGTGTTCAGGGTTTCATTCATCACAGTAGTCGTCGCAATATCGATAGTATGATTTGTAGGAGGTTACTTCCGAGGATGCTAACTTTAACCGGAGAACTAAGATCTCAAGCGTCAAGGCGTCGCCCAAAGAGACTAGGCTTCATGACGATGAGCCCCCCCCGGAACCCCGAACCCGGACGCCGCAAGGTGTACCTCGTGTGGGAGGACGGAGGTTCTATCCTCGTGGCGCTGCTAAATCTTGCCATTCCGGCGCTTCAGATCTTCCTTACCCACACCCTGTGCTTGGGACGGCAGCAAGAACACCAGATAATTCTGATAAGAATGGTGAGACTGGTCAGGAGTCATACCCGTACCAGAGTCGTAGTAGACCCTAAACCCTGAGGCCTGAACCTAAACCCAAAACCCAAAACCCTTCTTCCTCGTAATCATCATGGTAGTCAGAGTCGTAGCAGTAAGTACAGGGTTTAGGGTTCGGGGTTTGGGTTTATTTATAGGATTCAATTTCGGCGTTCTGTGCTGAGAGCATGCTTCCAGGGTTAGGGAGTTGGCACAGGGCTCTGTGCTCGATCAGGGGTTTAGGGTTTAGGGGCTATCCGGCACAAAGAAAGCTGACCTGAAGGCGTTGCGCCCCACACACAACCTCTAAAGTACGCAACCCAGACTAAGTTTGAAGCCTGGACGCCCTCAGCCCACCTATCCTCAAGGTCTTGAGCCACAAAGACTCGTAACTTTAACTCGTAGCCGTAGATCCTAAGCCCATCGTTACTATGCTTATTGGGGGGGCGGGTTGGTCAAGGCGATCATGTTAGAATGTTGTTAATTACTTCCCTTACAATGATGAGTGCGGCGATTTTTATAATGTGTAGCTGCTGCTAAGACAGTTGTGATTAGGACTCGACATTCCGCCCTAAACCCTAAACCCTAAACCCTAAGCAGGAAGCCCCAAAGCTTGAAAGACTTTCGTCAGCCATTGCGCTCTGCATCCTCAGCTCAGGTTCATGCCGCTTCGCATGAAGGCTCCACTTGCACTTCAATGGTTTAGGGTTTAGGGTTTAGGGGTTTAGGGTTTAGGGGTTTAGGGTTTAGGGGTTTAGGGTTTAGGGGTTTAGGGTTTAGGGGTTTAGGGTCTGAGAACAAGATTTCGTGATTCAGGTTGGTGTTCTAGCGCATGCTGAGTCCCCACACACCCTCGAGGCTTAGGGTTTCGATTAGGTATTATATTGATGAGCTTTCTTGAACCCACAAGGATCAAAAAGGGACCCTAAACTCTCAGACCTAAACTTGTGGCCACGTCGTTTGGGGGTTTGCCCGAAGGCTTAGGGTTTTGCGAGCTTTACGGATTCTGGCATTACTGTGCGCAAACTTCGGGACGTGAGCTAGTGAATGCTAAAGCGACGCTTTTCCAAAGAAGCACTTCGCAGATTCCTTTGCAACAAACCCCCTAAACACTAAACCCTAAACCCTAATTCTTCCTTGGGCTTGCAGATCGTTTGTGGGTAGTTTGCGGATGCCGAAGACCTTGGTTCGTTCCATGCTGCATCCATGGTGGAATCGTTTCGCGTGTCAACCACCATGTGAAATGAAGCAATTTCGTGATCACTGACTCCAAATTCGATTATCTCCTTTTTGCAGATCGTCCTACGACATGCCGATGCACGAACAAGAGTTCCATGCTCGTGGGCGAAACCAATGGCCTATTGCATAGGTGCACTCTGTCGTGAACCAGTATATCTCCGTGCATGTCGTCAGTTTTGGTTAGTTCCTACAACGATAGGGTGGCATTCTGGCTAGCAACATGTACTGCACGATAGCATTGCATCCTACACCATCACCTCCATCTAGAGGACAGTCAAGACGCAAAACTTGCCGATAACTTTCGACCTCACGGATTCCTAGACCCTCCTTGACGCTACCTTCACACTGAAAAACCCTACTTTTTTAGGGCCTCTTATTGAGATTTCTTGCTATAAGTCCTTGAAGGTAGGTTATTTCGGGCTCAGGTGAACCTAATGTCCCGTGGCAGAGGTGGCACCCTTCTTTGCCAAGAAGCTGGATCAAGCTGTTGAGGACGGCAACTCGCTCATGGAGGACCGCCGTGAGCTTCAGATTCGGGATCAGTTTAGAGTTGAGGGGTTTGGCGATTGGGCTTTGAGGCTCATATCTATCAATATGTATATATACATATATATGCATGCATACATACTTGTTGCATGCATACATACATACATGCATGCATACATAACGGTATACATACATATAGAGGGCGAGGAGTGCATTCATCAGCGTTCCCATTGTGCCTACTAGGAGAGCCTAGACACCGGAAACAATGGGAATTAAGGGTTTCAGGTTTAGGGTTTAGAACTGTGCCCTAAACCCAATACCCGTCTTTTGTCTCCCTTGCCCTCCCAAAACATTGAGTTCGTGTTTAGGGTTCAGGGCTTAGTTTGGAGGGTTTAGGGCAAGTAGCTGTCAGGGGAGCTGCCTGCCGAACGAAAGGATTTGAAGTTCCTTTTCGCCGTAACCCTAGACCCGAAACCCTAAACCCTGGACCCCTAAACCCCTATAATAAACCCTAAACTCCCTGAGCGCTAAACCCTAAACAGTGCGGATTGGGGACAAGGCGGGCTCAACAAAAACCGAAACCCTGGAGCCCCAACCATGAACCCCTTCGACGTTCGAGTCCTGACACTCTAAACTCCTTAAGCCTAAAACAACAAGCCGCAGAGGCAGTAATATTCTATATCAATCCCAGAGATCCCTGAACAACAGCATATATATGTATGTGTGTGTGTATATATATATACATATATATATATATACATATGCTAGGCCCCCCTCCTGGAAGTTCTGGTCTGTTTTAATGAACATATTGCTATACACGCAACAAAAATTGATGGGGAGGTCACTACGTATGATAAGTACTTGTGGTCTCTATAGCTTACACATAAGATTCCGAGAGACAGCCATAACGCCGCCATGATACCTTGGACGGTGTGGTGATGCAATCAAGCTACCGACACACGAAACGCTGAAAAATGTCCAAGTCAGCTGATCTCCCTTGCCTGTATGCTTTCGAAACTCCGCAGGCAGAGAGATGAACATCAAAACTTACACCGGAGCGACGTGTGTGCGTGTATCGCATGATACAGGCAGAGAGATTCTGACCAAAACTCACATCGAAAAGGTATACAAACAAACATGAGTTTGGTTACCTGCATACACTCAATCAGAAGATGCTAGAACACTAGGTTTAGGATCTCTTCACCATGTCGTGCATGTACTGTGAGACCAACTCTCCTGTGAGCAACCACAGATCGTCTTGGCGGTACCAGTACTCGTACTGCACGCTTCTGATTTGAGCGGTCAGCAAAAGAGACGATGATTTGATGTTCTGATTCTTGGCAAGACGTTCTTTGATAAATCGCCAGGCCCGGGTCTTGCAAGAAACGGAGCTCTGTGACGATCCTCAGCTTCTTGGTGCCTCGGTAGCTGAATGAGTACATGTTACACGTGTTGTTTTAATAATATTCCTCCCCTTCAGATCTGAAAGCCTGCAATGTTTGGGCGATCATGTTATTCCCCTATAGAACTGAAAGTTTACTTTTTTTTGGGGCTTCTGAACTCAGCAACTGAGGTGCCGTCCTCCATAATTGTCGCAGCTGGCCCGGCTCAGGCCGGGGGACGTGGAAGGGTCCCTGTAAGGATTCTATAGGACCTAATGTAGGGGCTAAATAATTACCTCTACTATTTTGGTTCACTATAATCATTAATTATAGTATAGGGCCCCAGAACCCTATTCAAATTATTCAGGCGCCTACATTAGGGTTTTTGTGTGGGCTTTGGGATTCCTTAGAGGCTTCTCTAGGAGTTTTTGGTTTAGGGTTGTAGGGTTTTGTTGGCTGTTCCGGCCTAGCGCCGTAGGGCTGTAACGTGTGCAGGTTTTAGGGTTTGGGGGTCGCTGCGCCACGAGCCATAGGCCCCAAAACCCTGAACCGAGCCTTGTGGGGTTTGAAACCGGCCCTGAACCCAAGAGAATACACCTCAAACATCGAACGCGCCAATGACCTGAGCTTAGACTCTGAACTTTAGACCGGCCTAAGCAGGCGAGTGGATAAAGGTGCGAGAACAAAGCACGTAGACAAATCCTTCAACCCTCAAGCCCCAAATTCAGAATTCCCCCAAACCCTGCAGCCCGTGAGCCCTACTGGGCCACCCCTTAACCCCAAGCCCTAAACCCCGAAAGTCTCCGGAGTGAAGCGAAGCCCGGAATGAGCATTATAGGGGAGAGGTATCCGATTATTGCCGATAGTTCTCTTCGGTGTCCGGTCTATCAGAACTTCACACGACCGCACCCGAGAACCCCTATTCTAAAGATGAAGGCCTCGACATGAATAGTAAGCGCTATAATTTAAGAAGCAGCATTCATCAAGCCATATTGAATTCATGTTCGTTGTGCTATGGCAGGGCTCCTTACTGAGTAAACTTGAAACCCCAAATGCCCTGAACCAGAAGACTTCAACCCAAAACCCTCAGAACATCCTTATAGCATCCCTACACAACCCGGACCTCTTCTCGAACCCGCAAGAAGATGAGATGAAGCCCTAACCTGAACATCAATATCCTTATATCAGACCCTTCAAAAGTCCGACGAGATCCTTAGGATAGCCCTGAAATCTCGTGCTCTGTAACTGCCGCCCTAGCAGCGTTTAGGGTTTAGGGTTTATGAAAAGGCGGCTACAAGGGCTGCCGGAGGGGGCACGACAGGGCTTTGGCATAGCGGCCTCGATAATTAGAGAAGGGTTTTTGGGGCACATTCTACTACAGTTCTAACAGGTAACCCTCGACACACTAGACTATTGCTAAGTATTCGGGATTTCATACCTGGGTACAGGGTTTAGGCCCTGAAACCTAAACCCTGAACCCTAAACCCTGAACCCTAAACCTTGAACCCTGAACCCTAAACCCTGAACCCTAAACCCTGAACCCTAAACCCATAAACCCTAAACCCCCTATGACCCTAAACCCACAAACCCATAAACCCCTAAACCCTAAACCCTATAAACCCTAAACCCTACAGCAGGAGCTCTAGAGCTGAGCTTCGCTGACGGCAAGCTCATGAAGGCGGGGGCGGGATCATGAAATCCCCACAACCCCAGCGCCTGAAACCCAAAAGCCCTAAAGCCTAAAACCCTAAAGCCTTGGCCCTAAACCCCAGTACCCTAGGTTTAGGGTTTAGGGTAGAGCCCCATGGCCTGAAGCTCCTAAGCCCCATGACCCT